GTCACATCATCACCACAACAGACTGAATAATAATAAATTCGTTAAAATTAAATTATATTTGACTGAAACTAAATCTCGATGATTTTAAATGTGTTAGTACGGCTGTGAGTGAGGAAAGAGTCAGCTCTACCGAAATAGTCTTATTTGGATCATGTGTATATATGAACTATGAGGGAAGTACTACTCACCGGCTTCTCATAGTCAGTCAGTCAGTCAGATGCAACGTAGAACTTCGTACGTAAGTACATCAGTTCATGTTGCCATACCACATCAGCACAGAGATATAATTGTCAATTCAAATCCCAGAATAGTAGTAGAGGTAGTAAGGGAATTAGAAGTAATCGGAGAGGTTAGGGTTAGAAGATACTATTCAAGAAGTATGATTCAGTGAGAAAAGTTTGGAGAGTCGAAACTAGAGGTGTTGAAGAATCCAGAAGATTAGGGTTTGAGAGAACACAAAGAATAAATGCACCTGCGCCATTGCGAACGATTTTGAGCCATGTCATTCAGGTTATCTAACCATCGATTATTATCATCTCGCGGACCACAACCAGGTAGTCGACAATTACCGACATGGCTAAGTCCACTAGTCAATGACTTCATGGATTTCTGTCATGTTTTGATTTGGCCGCCTCTAACTTTCTTCCAACCTACTCCTACTCTACAAAACCAAGATCTTCGAGGCAATCGGTGGTTAGGCATTCGCAACACATGTCCCAACCACCTCAACGGACGAAGTTTCATTAATTGATCTTTTGATCTGCCATTCTTACGTAGCACCCGGTTCCTAATAACAGCGTTGCTCTCTCTGGTGTCCCAGGATATACGAACAATGCTTCGAAGACACCTATAATCGAAAACCAGTAGCCTACGAATATCTTCTACTCTCACTGGCCATGTTTCACAGCCATAAAGTAAGACGGAGCAAACTACTGCGCAGTACACTCGTCCTCTAGTCAGCAAACGGATATCTCGCCTACGCCATAAGTGACGCAGGTTGGCAAAAGCCAATCGAGCCTTCTGTACCGGCTTCTCATAGCACGCATGTTGCTTACGATATTGAGAGGAGAAAAGGTGAGTCTTCGAACAAAGTTTAGGCAGAGTTGTTGGGTTTGAAAGAACCCCCTATGAGAGTTAAAAAAAACCCTATCGAAAACGAATGGCGAAAATTGGCTCCGATATCCTGAGAGAACTGATGGTGTATTGTCGGTCACCGACTACCATCGGACTGAATCACCTTGTTTTGTCCCACTCCTTTGAGGTTCAAAGAACTAGCGAGTGGTCCCCCTAGGAAAGTCACTTCCTTCGGGTTAGTCTCATGAACAGCTTAAAAGTCAGTTCATTCGCAAATCCGATCATTTTTGCACCACATCGATAATTAGGTATCGTATTTTTGTATCACTGTTTCTGTTTAAATAAGTAATAAGTACAAATGAGTTCGTTTTCAATAGCCGTGTGACCTGAATGAAAACACTTAACCTGTAATTTTAAACAATAAAAGCATTAAACCTTTAAAACACATAAAACTACTTCATTGTTTAAATGAGTGATACAGAACTGTATATCATTTAGTGGCCACCCGATAATCTGATTTCAGTTGAAACGAATAACTAGTTAAGCTATGAAATAAATGTTCCCTATGATTTCCCGTGTATTACATTTTGGCAAACTGAATTTAGAAAGCCGACGTAACAAGAAGCCAAACAGGCATTCACTTGGATCAGTTTACTTCATGCAATCATTCTCACAGACAGAGACGAGAATACAAATCGAAACGAAGTGGAGGAGTATCCAATGCGTCAATTCACTGTGTGATGAGCCATAAATAACCATTTATGGTCAGATATGTAATAAACAAAGGAAGCAGTACACGCACGTACGCACACACATTCAAAGAAACACAACCAAGATTATGAGCATATAACTGACAAGTTGATTGATATTAGAACTGTGAATAAAACAAGTGATAAAGTAAACAGCGTGACGGAAGTTTGACGACTATAACTAACGTTAATCGATTACGTTGGTTGTAGTGAAGGAGAACACAGGTGAGGGCAACCGAATTGTATTTATATATCTCAAATTACAGAGTTAATTGGTAAAATAGGAAAACCATATCCGAAATCGTTAATTTGCAAAACATCAATCCATTGTCTGACATTTCACTGTTCATGCGTTTCATACAAATTTCACTGTGTTTCTGCTCTTCCTTTCTTGATCTTCCCCCATCTTCTGTTGCCAGACATTGTTTTTACTCGCGTCATATACTACTTATAAGTAGCGCGCACCACACTCGTCCCCTCTTTTAATAAGCTGTCGTCGTAGTCGCCGTACCGCTGTCTTCTTTGGTGCTTTCCGTGACTCACACACTTGATAATCTTGAAACCACCTCTACAGTTGACTGGCATTTACACGCTTCTGCTTGTCTTCTCTCCGGATCGTGTACACCACGCCGTGTCTCTCCGTGATAACGTACGGTCCTTCTCACTTTGGGATCAGCTTTCCCTACCCTGATCCCACTGATATGCTACTTTTTTGTTCTCTACACTTTGCTAGGTCCAAAGTTAGAGATTTTCAAGCAGTTAGTCTGAAAGTTAAGCTCTACATTGCAAGTAACGAGTATTTTCACCATGATCTCAAGTTAGATAGTCAATAGGAATGTTACATCTGTTACTTGATACAACTGATAACGGAAGACAGCCTTTGCCACTAAGAACGAATAGAACAACCTTTTATGTTACAAATTAGGGGCCGAAAGACAACAGTATTATTATTTATTCCAATGAATGTCAAAATATGCAAGAATACTATGTGAATTTATGGGTCTTTCTCGCTGAAAAGATCACTATTATTGTCTATAGTACGCATGCAACAATATTAACGCAATTGTCCAATCAACTTATATCGCCACATCGACATGCTAGCAAATCTAGTGGGCTACGTGTTAGGATAGAGAATCTCTTCGGCTTTTTGAGAGTCTCTAGAGGCTTCAGAGAGTTAGTCAGTTACAACTTAGAACTTCGTACATAAGCAAAACAATTCAAGTTGCCATATTACATTAACACAGAGATGCAATTGTTATTTCAAAATCCCATAGTGATCGATGTAGTAGAAGTATTAGTGGTAATGGAAAACATTGAAGTTCGAAGAAATTGTCGAAGACATTTTTTTCAGTAAAATTAAGTTAAAACGAGAACGATAGTGGTGATGAGGAATTCTGAAGATTAGAATTTAGGAGAACACAAAGAGTGGAGCGTCTGTGCTATTAAAAATGATTTTGAGACATGTCATCCAAGGTCTCTAACCATCGATTACTATCATCTGGCGGATACCAACAAGGTTGTTTACATCTACAACATGACTCACTCCAGTTGTTAGAGACTATGGATTTGCGTCATGCCTTAACTCTCGTCGCCCTTAGGCTTCTTCCAACCTACTTCTGTACCACAAAATATTGGAAGTCAAGGCAGTCGGCGATTGGGCATACGTAACACATGTCACAACCAGCTACATTGATGAAGTTTCACTACTTCATCATCCTTACCTAGTAACCGATTCCTAACTATAGCATTGCTTACCAGGTTGTCCCAGGTTATATGAGGAATGCTTTAAAGACATCTATAATCGAAAACCACTAACCTACGAAAGTCTTCTACTCTTAACGGCCATGTTTCGCATCCATATAGCAGGACTGAGCGAACTGCTCCACAGTACACTCGTCCTTTCGTTAGCAGGCGGATATCTCACCTATGTCATAAGTGACGCATGTCGACAAAAGCTTATCAAGCCTTGGCTTTTAAAAATTATTTCAACCATAGTATGAGGTAAACACAAATGAACAATCCTTTCAGGTCTTTAGTTCACTTGTTCTCTAAATTCAAGTCAATGAGTAATGGTGAAACTTCATGTTAGGATATTCATCCAATATCCTGAAAGAATTATTAGTCAATTCCTACTGGTCAATTTTATGGTCATCCTAGATATCAATGTCACGTGCTCCAATGTTGTTTCTTATTGGTTCTCTTGACTATCAATGTCACTTCAAATATTGCTTCCTATTGGTCGTCTTAACTGTCAATGTCACAGAATTCGATGCTGTTTCCAATTCGACCAAAATGTATAAATACGCATTATCTGTAACGTTTTATGACCAGGACTAGGACCCGGTCCCGGATCCCTAACCCAGGATCCTCACTCTCTTCTGGATTCGGACCTCGTACTTTCTGGATGCTTGTAGAATACACGTTCTACTTCATATCAAGTCTTGTCTTTTATTTTCACTCAATATGAGGGTTTTAGATAATCGGATTAGAGTAGCATGTCGTGTCACCGGATCCTCGATCTCGTTTTCCGACTAGGTAAACTCATATCAAGTTGACGTGTTCACGTGCAGGCATAACACTTCAAAATCTCAAAATAAAGAAATCTCCAACACACACTGAACTATCAATACAAATACAAACTTTCACACATTTATTATGACATGAGAAAAATTAAAAGAATAAAAGACTGTTTCTTTTGTAAAAAAAACAAACACAACACATTACATTTTTGCACAAAATAAAAAAAATTTTTATAATCAATTCTAAGAGGAAAATTCTATGCGCGCGCAAAAAAATACATACATATTTAACATGAGAATATAAGTTGACGGACAGTGTAAGTGCGTGTGTGTGTGTAACAGTCGCCCGTCGAGGCAACACATCATCACAGCTAATTGATTATGGCATAACATAAATAGTATGAACAAGTGTTTTCTCTCGACAAAAACAAAAAAGAAAAAAGAATTTTCGAAAAGCTTGCGGAATATTATATTCCAAAATAAAAACTAAAAAAACAAAAACAGATTTGGTTCAATGATCAAGTTTCATAGAACGCTACCGCTACCGCCACCACCACCATTTAGCCACCGCGCATCGCCTCATTGTAATCAGCACTTGCAACAAATTTACTGATAAGTAGTAGTAGTAGTAGTAGTAGTAGTAGTAGTGGTGCACAGTTCAATGATTAACGTGTAGAATATTTGCATTGACAGCTTCATCAATCAGCATATTAAGTGTCCTGATGTTTAGAGGGAAAAAAAGACAAATCAACATATAAATAAAACAAGAAAACTCATTTCTGACAGAGAGACAGATAGACACACAGATACAACGCAGAACTTTGTACGTAAGTACATCAATTCAGGTTGCCAGACCATGTCAGCACAGAGACGAAACTGTCAGTTCAAATCCAAGAGTGATAGAGATAATAGAATTATTAGCAGCGATGGAGAAGATTAGGGAGCGAAGCTATGATTCGAGAAGTATAATTCAATGAGATAAATTTAGAAGGAGAAAGTAGAGATTATGAGGACTTCAGAAGGTTAGAATTTGTGAGAACACAAAGAGTGGATGCACCTGCGCCATTAAAAACGATTCTGAGCCATGTCTTCCAAGGTCTCTAACCAGCGGCGAACCCCCGATTGTTTCACAGCGTTAATTAAGAAGCCAAATACGGATTCGGTTAGATGAATTTATGTCAGACAACCGTTCGTGTAGATAGACATGAGAATGAAAAAAGTGTACAAGCAAACTGAAGCAGAGTGAAGAAGGTGAGTGAGCCAACTCAATGCGATGAAACTTGGCTACGTATTTATAATCAGACTAAAAATAAGCTAGGCATAGAATAGGCTAAGTAAGCAGCACACACTCGAATTAAGACAACCAAGATAATGAGCGAATGATTGACTAGGTCAAAAGTTCGAGTGAATAATGAACTATGTATGTATGTCCAAAGGCTAGGACAAGCCCCGTGGGCTCGTTATAAAAGTACACACACTACACCAGTTATCAGAGTTATGCTCAAGGAGTTGTTCTCCGAAGAAAATCACTCAGTGTCTGCGTAGTATCTCAGTACACTCACAAATTCAATAATTTTTATGACGAATAAATATTTAGGTACGCCATTGTACTAATACTTGTGTTTCAATAAGTAGATTCTCATGGGTAGAGTTAAAAGCGTGAAGATGGTTTTCCCTGGGACAATCGAGTAAGCAATCCTGCCGTTAGGACACAGGTACAAGGTAGGGATGGAAAATCGATAGATGAAGTAGTCAAACTTCATCAGTTGAGGTAGTTGAGACATGTGTTACGTATGCCTAACCACCGACTACCTCCTCGAGCTGTGTTTTGTGGTGTAGGAGTAGGATTGAAAGAAATCTACGAGCGGCAAAACCAAAACATGGCTTAAATCCATGGACTCACTGACAAGTGGACTAAGTCATGATGGTAGATGTAAACTACATGGTTACGGTTTACGAGACGATAGTCATCGATGGTTAGAGACCTTGAACGACATGGCTCAAAATCATTTGCTATGGCGTAGGAGCATCCACTCTTTGTGTTCTCTTCAGAATTCCTCATCACCTCTATCATTCTCGTTTTAAATTTATTTTACCATTAGTTATTATTATCTCGTCAACCCCAAAACAAGTAGTCTACATCTATCAACATGACTCAGTTCACTTGTCATTGACTTCATGGATACATGCCCTGTTTGGGTTTGGTAATATCTAACCTTCATTCAGCATACTCCTACAACAGACGTTATGATTCATTGAGGCCATAGGCCATTGGGCATACGTAACAAATTTCCCAACCACCTCAACTGACGAAGTTTCAATACTTCATCCAGTATAGTGTTATGTTCGTCACTAAGTACGCTTGAAGCTATTACAAGTTCACCTAAGTCGATAAACGCAAACGAGACAATGAACCATCGTCCAGATAGGCTACCTTGAATCCCAAACTGCAAAACAGAAGTCTTGGTGTAGCGTAGAAAGTATATTCTACAAACAACCAGCAATCATACAATACAATCAAGCACACACAACTCTCGTTTATTTATACATCATAGAAACGTCCTAGTGGGATAGTCACAAAAAATACGACACTAAATAAAATACACAGCAGCAATCAATTACACAGCCATTGAATTTTCCTTGTGGGGCAAATGAAATCTCAAGGTCACCTGGTTCAGTCCATGCTGGCAAACATGAAATCCAGGCATTTATCAAGCGAGTTCTGGCGGTCTAACATTCCAAACATATATATATAGCCTACGAATATCTTCTACTCGTACTGGCCATGTATTTCACAATGGATAAAGTAGAATGCGAGCAAATTGCTACGCTCTAGACTCAGTCCATTATTCAAGCTCATAACTGACAGACAGTGACGCAATAATAATTTTTGAATTCACTTACTTGCGTAATTCAATAGTTCTATGACATTCCGCTTCATATTTACTTTGAATGATACGTGAAAATGATCGAGGCAATTTCCATAGACCAGTCACACCATCAAATAATTGTCCTTGATATAATTCTTCCCAAATATCCTGTAAAATAAGCGGAAGAAAAAATTGATTTAGTTACTTTCACACACACACACACACACACTAGGGAACATTTGTATATTACCAACATACATGTGCACAAACAAAATATTAGAATTTATCAATTGGCTAGCAGCTGGCTGAGATACTCTTGGTCGGATGAACAAAACCGAAGCAGAGATTTGGAAGGATTTGTGTTGTGACCACTTTGGCCCAGTGTGCTGTTACGGGTAAGAGGGTGGATGTTACTTCCATGCTGCTCAAACCTGTGGAACCTGAAGAGGAACGTAGATTAGTGTTGATCTTATACACCTGAGAGAGCGTGACCGCAGAACCCGAGAGACAACTACTTCAGGCCAGTCATGCACGGCCTTTTCATGAGAGGTTTTTGAAGTGTTAGCTCCGCTCTTGTTTCAAAGGCCTTATACCAACGGAGACAGAAATCCATGAGGTAAGGTAAGGTGTGACATTTTTTAGGGTCAAACTCTTCTAACTACTTCCGTCCTTGTGAGAAGGCAGTATTGCTTCAGATGCTGCTTGTCTGAGGGAAACACCTTCCTGCCGTCACAGCCCTCAACAGTCAGTCAACAGTATGACTTCACACTCAGACCTTGAGTAGCTACTTCTAGTCTCATCGTTTTCCAATCAATATGCCTGGCGCGGCAGAACCAACAGGAACAAATTTTTCAGTCAATATAACTCGGTTCGGTGATCATGATAGGCAATCCCGACTACCAAGTCAAAGTAGCAGCTACTATCGGGAACCAAAGCAGATGGTTTTCACAGAAGGCCACTTACAGTGACTTTGTCCAAAAAAACTAGTCCACAAGGCAGTGAGTGGGACAACGTAACGAGATGCAGTTCCATGGCAGCCCGTAACTAATAATCGCTCTACAAATCATTCGTTTTCTCAGAATACTGGAGCCCATATGCACCATTTGGTTTAGGAATTATAGTTTCCCAACTCCGCAAGGTTTATTTTTCATATATGAACCAGTTCGGTGTTTTATGCCTTAGTCGGACACTCAGTTTTTATCCTCTCAATGAAGTGAACGACATCCTGGCCACGAGAAGGCAGTTTAGTTTATGTCCGTCTGACTACCAATAGTTACTCCATTTCTCAATCAAGCGGAATTAGCCCATACGTATTTTTCTCCCCGCTTTGCTTTTCCACTTCCCATCATAATGTTGTATCTGGTTGTAAAAACCGAGTACATGAAATAAATTGATCCAAATGAATATATATTCAGCTTTTCATCACTAGACATTGCTCAAACAGAAAATTAGCTTAGGTGTTAGAAAATACGGAAATGAAATGAAAAGTTACTTCGGACATAAGCGAAAGTTGAATACTTCGATTTCTCTTCAACAAGATTTGGGATGAGGAACAAGTACCATCAAACTGGAAGCAAGGATACCCGATCAAAATACCAAAGAAAGGCGATCTCAGCAAGTGTGAGACCTATACAAGCATCACTCTTCTTTCAATACCAGGCAAAGTCTTCAACAGAGTGTTCTTAAATAGAATGAAGAACATCGTAGACGCACTACTTCAAGATCAACAGAATGGATTTCGTAAGGATCGATCGTGTACTGACCAAATCGCTACATTACGGATCATTGTGGGACAATCAATTGAATGGGACTGACCACTATACATCAACTTCATCGACTACAAGAAAGCATTCAATACCGTGGACAGGAAAACACTGTGGAGGATTCTTCGACACTACGGTGTGCCTGAGAAGATAGTTAACATCATATGTGATTCTTATGATAGATTCAACTGCAAAATCGTACACGAAGGACAGCTAACAGATTCTTTCGAGGTGAAGACCGGTGTCAGGCAAGGTTGCTTATTATCACCCTTTCTCTTTCTTCAGGTGATCGACTGCACGGTATCAAATGGACAGCCATGATGGAGATGGATGGTCTTGTTAGGATATTCATCCTAAGAGAATTATTGGTCAAATCCTATTGGTCGATTTCTATTGGTCAAAAGTATGGTCGTCTTAACTGTCAACGTCAAATACTTCAATGTTGTCTCTCATTAGTCATCTGGAATGTCAATGTCATTTCAAATGTTCTGTCCTGACTATCAATGTCACTTCAATTGTTACTTCCTATTGGTTGTCTTAACTGTCAATGCCACAAAATTCGATGCTGTTTCCTGTTCGACCAAAATGTATAAATACGCATTATCTGTAACATTTTATGACCACGACCAGGACACGGTCCCGGATCCCTAGTCCGGGATTCGGACCTCGTACTTTCTGGGTGCTCGTAGAATACATGTTCTACTTCATATCACGTCTTCTTATCTTTACTAAATGTGGCGGTTGGGATAATCCGATTAGAGCAGCATGTCGTGTCACCGGATCCTCGATCCTCGCTCTCGTTTTCCGACTAGCTAGACTCGTAATAGTTCAAGTATATCAAGTTTACGTGTTTATGTGCAGGCGTAACAGATCTGGACTTCGCAGATGATCTGGTTCTTCTACCACACACGCAACAACAAATGCAAGAGAAGACGACCAGTGTAGCAGCAGGTCTCAACAAACATAAAGGAAAAAGCGAAATTCTCCGATACAACACAACATGTACCAACAAAATCACTCTTGATGGAGATGCCTTCGAGGACGCTAACACCTTTACATATCCATGCAGCATCATCGACGAGAAAGGTGGATCCGATGCTGAAGTTAGGGAGCGGAACGGTAATGCAAGGGCTGCATTTCAAAAGTTGAAAAATATCTGGAGCTCTAAACAAATTTCAACCAAAACCAAAATCAGGATTTTCAATACAAATGTCAAGACAGTTCTATTGTATGGAGTGCAAACTTGGAGAACTACGAAAGCCATCAACATCCAGAAGATACAAGTAGTTATGAACAGTTGTCTTCGCAAAATACTTCGGATTCGTTGGCCAGACACAATCAGCATTAACTTACTATGGGAGCGAACAACCCAGATTCCAGTGGAAGAGGAAATCAGGAAGAAGCGATGGAAGTGGATAGGACACACACTACGAAAAGCACTGAACTGCGTCACACGACAAGCCCTCACATGGAACCCTCAAGGTGAAAGTAAGCAGAGGAAGGCCAAGGACAGAACTGGAAGCCCAGGACAGAGTAGGTTGGAGAAAACTGGTGGGCGGCCTATGCTTCAATGGGGGTAACAGGCGTAAGTAAGTATAAGCATAACTAATCGTTCGTCTATATCTCCAGTTCTATGTTGCTTTTAACTCTGCCCATTATTGATCAATTATCACTTACAAACTGAATCTTCATATATGAATCACACACATACACTCACACAAACACATCGAATCGAACATTTCTAATAGATGGAGTTTTTCTCTGAATATCACATACACGCACACAAACACACACACATGTGTCGATGATGTACATATAAAAAGCAACAATCCATGTACTTACTAATGCTTGCGCAGATAAACAAGGCCAACATGCATAACTTCCATCATTGATGGTTGTTGACTTTAAATTATCATGATTTCTTTGATTAGCATAAAATGGATTCCGAAAAGTACTGATCACCGGTAGATCATTGATGTATGACCTTGGGAAAAGATATATATATATAAATATATATAAACCTCGGGATTACGAAATGAGAAAGAATACACACATGAAATAATACTCAAGATCGTAAAGTTAGTCAGTCAGTCAGTCAGTCAACAATAACATAGAACTTAGTACGTACGTACATCAGTTCAAGTTGTCATATCACATTAGCACAGAGATGCAATTGTCACTTCAAACTCCGTAGCAGTTGAGGTAGTAGAAGTATTAGTAGTATTTGGAGAGATTAGGGTTCGACCTGTAGGTCATCTGGGGCTACTGCCGGTCCCAAGCCCGGATAAAGGAGGAGGGTTGAAAATGGCGTTGGCGACCCCATCCCGGAAAAAAACTAACTCGCTATAAAAACGCTAGCAAGAAAAAAAAAATTCAAACCATTTAAACTCTGCTCTTGAAGTTGGACGGTCTTTATTTTGAAATTGTTATGACGTCTCTTGATGAAAGCCGAGTTCCTTCGAAATTCAAGAAGCCGATGCCCCTTCTTACAACCAGAGCCCTTCGATGGTGTTGGTAGCCGGGAAATAACATCCACCCCCCATACGCATAAAACCACAAGTAAAGTTAGTCAGTCACAATTAATCAAGAACTTAGCATGTGTCAATCAATTTAAGTCAGTCAGTCAGTCAGATGCAACGTAGAACTTCGTACGTAAGTAAATCAGTTCAGGTTGCCATACCACATTAGCACACAGAGACGAAACTGTCAGTTCAATTCCCATAGTGGTGGAGATAGGAAAAGAATTAGTGGTAATCGGAGAGGTTAGGATTAGAAGATATTATTCAAGAAGTATGATTCAGTGAACTAAGTTCAGAAAGACAAAAATTACAGGTGTTGAAGAAACCAGAAGATTAGGTTTTGAGAGAACGCAAAGCATAAATGCACCGGCGCCATTGCAAACGGTTTTGAGCCATGTCATTCAGGGTATCTAATGTGTAAAAACACAAAACCTCCAAAACTCTGCCCGAAAATATCGTAACAGTGCTCACTAGTGACTAGCTTCGTGAGGAAATTCTCGGAGTTCTAGTTGAGAAGACGTGACCACTGGAGTTCAGCCTGTTAGGGTGTAGGCAGTAACTACCGAAGACAAATGGGTGAGGTCGCGCAAAAATCCCTAGATCAATCAGAGTTAGACATTAACACCGTTGGATGCCAGCCGGCCCAGTGGTCCAATGTTCAGGCGTCCGCGCATAGTACCGAAGGTCCCGGATTCGAATCCTACAACGTGCAGGAGTCGTGGATGCGCACTGCTACTGATGAGTCACATACCACGACGAAACGGCCGTCCAGTGCTTTCAGGTTTCTAATGGTAGTCTAACAATGATTGATTGATGATTTCAAATGTGTAAAAACACAAAACCTGCAAAACTCTGCCCGAGAATATACCAATAAACTTTACTAAAAAATAATTAAAATAATAATTTGTGTTATGTAACAACTAAATAAAGAAATTTTTACCATAAAGAAGTTGTTTTCGATGAAATATTCAATTGTTCTCGTTCTTGTGAAGAATTGCCCAAAAATGTTCCTTGAAATAAAAGTCACAATAATAATAATAATAATAATAATAATAATAATAATAATAATGTCAAGTCAGAAAAAACTGATACAAGGAGAAACACTCATAAAATAACTGAAACTCGAAACGATAAAAACAATGTCTTTATTATTAGATTTTCTATGAGTCTCCATCATACGGAATTCTTATGATGGATTCAACTGCAAAATCGTGCATGGAGGATAACTGACAGACTCGTTGTTCCAAATAAAGACCGGTGTCAGGCAAGGTTGCTTACTCTCACCCTTTCTCTTTCTGCTAACCGGCGACTGGATTATGAAGATGTCAACATCTGGAATGAAGCACGGTATCCGATGGACAACCAGGATGCAACTGACAAACTGAAACTTGTGGCTTTCCTCTTAAAGGAGCCAGTTCATGAGGGCTTATGATGCACAGTTGTAATCCGAAATGCAACAGAACAACGTAGAGAGATGCAGTACAATGGTAGGTGGTATTCAACAACAGGTTCGCATAAAATTTGTTTTCCCGAAATCCAAACTCCGCCTGGAGATCCTCTGAGGCTACAGTCAGTCCCATGGTCAGGATAAAGGAGGATGGCCGAGCTTGGGGTTCGCGACCCCACCCCGCACAAAAATGTAACCAGAAAACATAAATCCTCACATGTACAGTATTGTTTTACAAATTATGGTTTTCCAACTGCTTTAGATGGGTGGACCCTTCGTATCGATCGATTCCATATGACAGATGTAAACTTCCATTCAGTGAAACAATTATATCCTTGATATATTATTTGTGTACCATTGGCATTTTTTTACAGTAATCATGTTTATCCTTTCAGTTATATAACGCTTACTAACCAACTAATCATTAGTGTCATAGGAATTACAGAGATTCTTATTTCCTGAACACAAGCACAGTAGAACAACTGATACAGCAGAATCGTAAAGTACATGAAAAAACGCGACTTTAGATAACAACATATAGATAAACAATTATAATCAGTCTGACTCAAAGCCTAACCGTAGGTGAAACCTGGTGGTTCGGCTTGCCTATCGTGATCAGCCAACCGAGCTATATTGACTGGAACATACACTGCTCCAGATCCTACCATGCCATGCAAGTCGATTGGAGAACAGTATGACTAAAAGCAATAACTAGATATCTGAGAGTAAAGTCATACTACTGACTGTAGAGGGATATGACAGCAGTAAGGTGTTTTCCTCGAACAAGGAACATTTGCAGCAATACCGCCATCTCACAACGGGAGGGATTAGAAAAGGTCAACCCTAAAAATATCACACATCACGTCACCCCACGGATTTGCCTCTCCGGTGGTAAGGCTTTTTGAATAGCTGAGCTCCTACTGTGAGAAAGTCCCATAAAAAGACGTTGTGTGTGACTGGCGCAAAGCTATCCTCCCTTGGGCGCCGCAAACACGTTCTCAAGTTTCTAAAACCAACGCTAATTCAACTTTCTTTTTAGGTTCCTCAAACTGATCGTCACAATTAAACACAGTATGAATGATCATTTATTTAGATAATATTAGCAGAGGTGGGGCAGTGGATATAATTTGAATTCATGACGCACGTTTCATCCTACTGTGAACTCATCTGCAAGCTGGATGTAACAGCATGTTAAAATGAACAATTCATATATAGCTGAAAATCCAATGACAAGATCAACTATTTATGTGCTGAACACTTAATAATAATGATAAGTTCGTCACTAGGTACGCTTGAAGCTATTACGAGTTCACCATAGTCGATAAACGCGAACGGGACAATTACCAGCGTCCAGATAGGCTACCTTGAAACCCAAGCTGAAGACAGAAGGCTTTGTAAGCGTAGAAAATATATTCTACAAACACCCAGCAATCACACAATACAATCAAGCACACACAACTCTCGTTTATTTATACATCATATAAACGTCCTAGTGGGATAGTCACAAAAATAACACACTAAAATACACAGCAGCCAATCACAGCCATGGATTTTCCTGGTTGGAAATGAAATCTCAAGGTCACCTGGTTCAGCCCATGCTCGCAAACGTGAAATCCAAAATATGGCAATTATCAAGCAAGTTTTTTGGGATCTAACATCCCCAACAAATAAACCATGGAGGGTGAGATTGCTTCCTTCCTCATATACTGGCTCATGCATTTTAAATAAACCAACATATTACAACATATTACTAATAAAAACAATCATACTCATATCATTAATCACTTACCATATTCAGAGAAATAAGCATGTTTTGCAAGAAAATAAAGTAATTCATCAGTAAATTCAAATGAATTTGGATATTGACGAAGTAACTGAAATTGTATAAACCAAGGAAGAAACAACCATGATTATTATGATCAAGTTACGCCTGCAAGTGAACACGTCAACTTGATATACTTGAACTATTATGAACTGTTTACCTAGTCAGTAAACGAGAGCGAGGATCGAGGATCCGGCCACACGACATGCTACCCTAATTTGACTATCCAAACCCCCATATTGAGTGAAAATAAGACAAGACTTGATATGAAGTAGAACCTGTATTATACAAGCATCCACAAAGTACGAGGCCCGAGTCCAGAAGAGATTCAGGATCCCGGACTAGGGATCCGGGACCGGGTGCTGGTACTGGTCATAAAACGTTACAAATAATGCGTTTTTATACGTTTTGGTCGAATAGGAAACAGCATCGAAGCCTGTGACATTGACAGTTAAAACGACCAATAGGAAGTAACATTTGAAGTGACGTTGATAGTCAGGAGAACCAATAAGAAACAACATTGGAGCACGTGACATTGATATCTAAGAAGACAATAAAATTGACCAGTAGGAATTAACCAATAGGAATCGACCAATAATTTTATTAGGATATTGGATGAATATCCTAACAGATTATTATTATGATTATTATTATTGCCAGAAAACGCCATTCTTATCACAGATAAAATGTTGTCCTACTTAGGGCCTAGGAATCAACGATGGATGAAGACTACTAGTACTACTGAAATCTGCAAACCAGATTGCAGTTGAGTAAGAAATAAGGAAAAAGTGGTGGCAGTGGATATAGGACATACATTGCAAAAAGCATACAACTATGTCACAAGACAAGCTCAAGACCAAAAGAGGAAGAGGAGGAGTAGACCAAAGAACACATTACACAGAGAATTGGAAGTAGCAATTTCATAGAACTCGAAAAGTAGACCAAAGCAAAGTAAGTTGGAGAATGCCAGTCGGTTGCTGCTCCCTCAGGCGTATCAGGCGTAAGTCAGTAAGTAAGCTATATATATATACGTGATCGGTTAATTTAAACTTTATATTCAACAACCAATCAAGATCAAGTCATATGTATCGATTTGCATGGGACTTTGAATCACAATAAAAGCTGCAATGCAGATCAAACAACCAAAATTTACAACACTGCAACCTTCTCACAACGGGGGGGGGGGGCGGTTAGATAAAATGTCGACCCTACAAATGTCAAACCTCACATTACCCCATAGATTTGCCTCTCTGAAGTTAAGGCTCTTAATCCTAACAACCTAAATGACTCTATGGAGATGAAATATTAGAGGGAATCAATAACAGTAGTAGTAAGATACTTGTCTTCTAATATTTCTTTTCAACAATATTATATCGACCGCAGAGATGGCGTGGTATGTATAGCTAAGAGTGAGGAGAATTCGCCCTCCCTTTCAACACACTCTCCATTTGGATCACACGTATATTGCCACTGTCAGGAAAATCCTACTCGTTGCCTTCTTGTGGTAAATAGTATTGTTTCCGAAATTGAGACGATGAAAAGCGATTGTTTGGTCAAGACTTAAACCGAGTGTTTAGGGTGGGTACGGATGACCCACCTTAAAGTGGTTGGTAAAAACCATCATCATCTGAAGCGCCAATGGTGCACATCGGCCGCACTATCCTGAGAAAACGAATGGCATGAAGTAGTGGATCTTTATCAGTTGAGGTAGTTGGAACATTTATATTACGCATTTGTTACGGATTGCTTCGATGAACAATATTGTCTGATGTAGGGGTAGGCTAGAAGAAAGCTAGATATGGCCAAACCGAAACATGACACAAAACCATAAAGACACTGACAAGTGGTTGAGGTGTGCGAGATAATAGGGGATAAAATTAGCCAATGTAACAGCAACATCTGTAACAGTAGGTTTCAATGTATAGATAAGGGAAAAAGCAAGAGTCACCGATGCAACATATAATGCACCAACCAAATCATGCATGATAGTGGGGCTTTAGAAGATGTCAGAACACTTTTACATACCTCGGCGGCATCATCAATAAACAAGGTGGGCCTGGTGTAAATGTCAATAGACGCATTGGAAAAGCAAGGACATCACTTCTACAATTGGATATCATCTAGAACTAAACACAAATATCAACCAATACCAAAGCCATAATTATCAATAGGAACTTTAATACAGTTATATTCTATGGAACAGAAAGTTGGCGAACCATGAAAGCCATCATCCATATGATAGAGGTATTTATTAAAAGTTGCTTAAGCAAGATACTGACGACCCGTTGGCCAGTCACTATCAGTAACAACCTATTGTGGGATGGAACAAACCATATTTGAGCTGAGGAAAAATTAGGAAAAAGCGTTAAACGTGGACAGGACAAACATTTCCGAAATCATCCAAATGAATCACGATGCAAACCCAAACGTAGGACTCTCAAGGCACAAATAAAAGAGAGGTAGACGGAAAAAAATGCATCACACCGAAAATCGGAAACCGACAAGAAAGGATAAAAAGCGATTCGGAAGAACTGGAAAGGAAGATCCAGGACAGAGATTTGGGTGGAGAATGATGGTCAGCGGCCAGTAGTGTTCCAATAGCAGTAAAAACGGTAAGTTTTTTCTAACCTATGTCGACTTCTTTACGTCGAATTGACTTTTGCAAAGAATGATTTAATTAACAGATTTTACTTTTCACGGATCGATCTCAAACGACACATGTCGGGAGTATTACGCAGCTGTTTTATCCTAGTATAAAACCCACGTCCTCCAGATCCTTCGATCACCGACTAACCGATCAATAGTACAATGTTAACTTCAATCAATTTGTGATAAATCACAGCGATCATCTGATTGCATTGATGACAGTTATCTTATTCCCAATGTGTTTAGGTTTCATCAGCCACCATTTTTATCTGGAATTTCAGGAACACCTTGAAATTACTAGTGTTCTGTTCTTATTTCCGGAAAGAATGTGCGCAGCTAACTGATATATCTATGGCAATTATGCCCAGCATTAGTCAGCACTGACAAGAAACTGTATACCGCGAAAAAAATATCCTTCCATGTAATAAAAAACGGAGACATTTTTAGTAACTAATGGAACAAAAAGCAAATTTAATTTTTCCACACACACACACACATACAAACAACCAGAAAAAACGCACCTACTTGCCAAACACAATCCAAAAATAGAATAAACACAGGGCTCTCATATTTTGGTGATGTTAGTGAGAAAGCCGAATGCTGACAACGATCTGTAAATGGATGTCCAGCATTTAACCATGTTTGATCAATAAGTGTCTGAAATCTAAATCGTTGAATGCACAATAAGATTAGATGAACGACTAACGAAAGACAACAGTTAAACTATATATATATATATATATATATATATATATATATATATGCTTACTTACGCCTGTTACCCCCAATGGAGTATAGGCCGCCCACCAGTTTTCTCCAACCAAATCTGTCCTGGGCCTTCACTTTCTAGTTCTTTCAAATGTTTGTTCATTCCTGTCATATCTTTCTCTATTTCTCGGTGTAATGTGTTCCTTGGCCTACCTCTTTTTCTTCCACCTTGAGGGTTCCAAGTGAGGACTTGCCTTGTGACGCAGTTCAGTGATTTTCGCAGTGTGTGTCCTATCCACTTCCACTGCTTCTTCCTCATTTCCTCCTCCACTAGAAATTCGTTTATACTCTTTCACAGTAGGCTGTTGCTGATAGTATCTGGCCAACGAATCCGAAGTATTTCGCGTAGACAACTGTTCATAACTACTTGTATCTTCTGGATGTTGATGGCTTTCGTAGTTCTCCGAGTTTCCGCTCCATACGGTAGAATTGTCTTGACATTTGTATTGAAAATCCTGATCTTGATTTTGGTTGAAAGTTATTTCGAGCTCCAGATATTTTTCAACTGTTGCAATGCAGACCTTGCATTAACCGACCCTAGCTTTCTTCAAACCGACTCCTACACCACGTCGCGGCAGTTCGTGGTTAGGATTACGTGACATATGTCCCAACTACCTCAACTGGTGAAGTTTCAATACTTCATCTATTGATTTGACATCCTTACCTAGTATCCGTTTTCTAACGACAGGATTGCTTACTCTGTTGTCTCCGGATATACGAGCAACGCTTCGGAGACACCTATGGTCGAAGACAAGCAATCTACGAATGTCCTCTACTCTCACCGGCCATGTTTCGCATCCGTATAGTAGGACAGAGCGAACTACTGCGCACTACACTCGTCTTATGGGTAGCAAACGGATTTCTCTCTTGCGCCAGAAGTGACGAAACTTGGCAACAGCCGATGCAGCTTTCTGTATTTCGTCAGTCACCAAGCCATCAGCATTGATGAGACTCTCCAGATAAGTGAAAAGATCAACACGTTCGACTACTTCACTCCCTATCACTAGTTCACGTGCCGATGCAACTCAATCTTGAAGCAATATTTTGCATTTCGAAAAAGAAAACCGAATTCCGAACCTGTTTGCATTGTCGCTTAGAGTACTCAGAAGACTCTGCATTTTGTCAGCGTCTTCAGTGAATTAGGACTATATCATCAGCCTATTCTAAGTCAGCAAGCGTGGCACCTGATAAAAGGTTCACTCCTGAAGAGTCAGACAATGATAATGTTAACGTAAGTACGACGATGTTAAACAAGAATGGAGAGAATGGACAGCACTGACTGACACTACTTGAAGTAACTAATTCCGAAGACAGTTCGCTATAAGCTCTTACTCGATCAGTGGCGTTCGAGTAGAGAACTAGAATAAGGTTAATGTACTTTTTCGATACACCTTTTAAAGACCGAATGTCCTCTCTTATTTCCAGGATCTTCGGTCTTGTGCGCGAAAACCTAAGACTCTGGACCACTGGGCCGGCGGTATCCAACGGTATTAATGTCTAACTCTGATCAATCTAGAAATTAAGCGCGACCTCATCCCATTTGTCTTTGATAATTACTGTCAACACCCGATAGGGTTGAACTTCACTAGTCACGTCTTCTATTACGATAAGGATATTATTGTCCGTATAAATCATGCGTATAGCGAGTTAAACTTGTATATAGTACAATTATACTGTAAACACTAAAATAAGAATATTATTCTTTTAAAAAAAAATAAGTCAATTTCACTTACCCTGTTATAGTTCTACACTCAGGATCTAATATAATCTGAATTAAACTAGCCACTAGAATAGCTCGATCAGTTCCTTTTCGACTTTGTACCAATACACATGATCCGCGTAATTTGACCTCTTTAAAATATTGATCCTTTGTAGTAGATGTTCTTTGTTTTTCAGCTAGTAAACATTGTTCTTGTTGAAGTTGTTGTTGAGCAAATGCATCTAAAGCATCCAATGCTGTAGCTCCAGCTACTGCAGCTGCCAATGTTTCACGTACTACTGATAACCAAGCGGCAATTTTTTTCGATTTCTTAACATTATTACTATTATTATTATTAGTAGTAGTAGTAGTAGAAGTAGAAGTAGAAGTAGTGGTAGCACTAGTACTGCTACTACTACTACTTAAATCTAATTCAGTAGTTGTTGAAGAATTACCAGATTGTATTTCTAATTGACCGAAATTCGAAATGATTTCCTGTTTAGTTTGTTCACCAACACTATCATTCAATGCATTGTATGAACTATCAGCCACGATTGATGCATTGATCGAATTACGTAATCCAAAATTTCCTATTGGATTCAATGCAGCATTGGATAACATTCCAATCGAATCACTAATTCCTGATTGTAGTACACTAAATGTTGTATTGCTTGAAGATCGAGTTAAACGACCAGATGATGTACAAGCTGTCAAAAGAAAACAATGACGGTTTGTTTTAAAAACCATGAAAGCTATAAATCTATGAATAAAGGAAATAGAATAAACGATCTCATCTACGAGATCATCAGTGCTGATGGCCTGGTGACTTGGCTTTTGTCAACCTGCGTCACTTATGCCGTAGGCGAGATATCCGTTTGCTGACCAAAGGACGAGTGAACTGTGCAGTGGTTCGCTCCGTCTTACTTTATGGCTGTGAAACATGGCCAGTGTGAGTAGAAGATATTCGTAGGCTGCTTGTTTTCGATCATAGATGTCTTAGAAGCATTGCTCGTGTATCGTGGGACAATCGAGTAAGCAATGTTGTTGTTAGGAAACGGGTACTAGGTAAGGATAACAGATCAAGAGATGAAGTGGTGAAACTTCATCAGTTGAGGTGGTTGGGATGTGTGTTGCATATGCCTAACCACCGACTGCCTCGACAAGCAATGTTTCGTGGTGTAGGAGTAGGTTGGAAGAAAGCTAGGGGTGGCCAAATAAAAACATGCTAGAAATCCATGAGGTCACTAACAAGTGGACTGAATCAAGTTGGTCGGTGTCGACCATCTGGTTGATTGATTTGAGAGATACGGTTAGTGATCATTGGCATACAAAAAGAGCAACACTATAAAAAATGGATATAATATAGTTCATTGAAAGAAAATTGTAGAACTATATTTTCAACACTATTTCTTTCCTACTATCAATGATAATGCTAGTAGATCGACTTTGTTGACATTCATAATGTTATATAGAATGGATAGAATATAATAAGCACTGAAATCCATCAAACGCGTTTCGACCCTACTTAGGACTCGTCCGCAGCTGGAAGTACCTGCATTTCAGATTTGATGTTCACTCCAAGAATCGAACACAGTATTGTCTGCTTCAAATGACATTGCATTATCCACTTAGATGATGAGTTCAGATAGCCAGCCACGTGTGGCCATTCGAGAACATTTGGAGATGAATAATGAACTCTCTCCACTTTCAACCGTATCATGGCATTTGGGGACTAATAGTTAATTTTAGGCTCTAAATACAAAACCAACTTTTCGTAACCCCTAATACACGGGGAAAGTGAATCTTCTATCCCTTTTAACGCACTTATATAATCATGAGGTTAGAGTTTTTACCAAAACCGTACTACTAACTGCCCTCACATTGTGAAACGAATATCCACAGTTTATGTCAAGTTGGTTGATATGAAGGATCTACCGTGACATCATGTATTTGTGCCATGTTTTGGTTTGGCCACCACTAGCTTTCTTCCAACTTACTCCTACACCACAAAACATTGCTCATCAAGGCAGTCGGTGTTTAGGCATATGCAACACATGTCCCAACCACCTCAACAGATGAAAGTTGAATACTTCGTCTATTAGTCTGCCATCCTTACCTAGTACCCGTTTCCTAACAACATCACTGCTTACTCGGTTGTCCCAAGATATAAGAGTAATTGCTTCGAAAAGACCTATGATGGGAAACCAATACCTAACAATATCTTTTACTCTTACTGGCATGTTTCACATCTATATAGTAGGACGAAGAGAACTGCTGCGCAGTAAACTCTTCCCTTGGTTAGTAAACGGATATCCCTTCTACGGAAGTTGGCAAAAGCCAGTTGAGCCTGCTGTATCCGTGCTGAGATTTCGTGCCAAACCAGTCCATCAACACTGATGAAACTACCATGGTAAGTGAAGCGGTCAATACGCTCAACTGCTTCACTCCCTATCACTAGTTCAGCTGCAGACGGAAGCCAATCCTAAAGCAACATTTCGCATTTCGAAGGGGAGTATCGCATCCCAAACATGTTTAAACTGTTGCTTAGGAGATAGCCAGAAGATTCCGTATTTTGACAGTATCTTCCATCAAACAGAACTATGTCATTGGTATATTCTAAAGACCTAGACTTTATAAGTCTTTCTGAAATTCTGCACACAACTCCATCTAAATGAAAATTAAAACTGATGGATATTACTAATTAGTAGTTTCAGTAGTATAACTAGAAATGATATTTTAACACGCTAGTCAATTAATCTCAAATAATTCAGTACGACAGTAACGATTCACCAATGAAAAACGACAAAAAAAAAGAAACAGTCAATTTATTAAAACAAACACACATTGAATGAAAAGCATATAAAAGAGATGAAAATGTTCAATATACATACATACATACATACATCTTACCATAAATGAATTTTCTAAAAGTGATAATCAGACTATTGGTAGATTCCAACGGTCGACAAACTCGTCGCCATTGTGGATAGAATTGTTCAAATTCAACCGGAACACCACCGCCTAAAAGAGTTATTAGGAAGAGAATAACAGACAATGTAGGATTAATGTTAACATGATAAGTTTTGAAATTTATGTGTGTTACACAAGTGTAGACCACCTGATTGTGTTATGTACAAAGAAGTTAACACGGAATGCGAATGTAGACAAGCTTGAAAGAAGGCAAAGTTTATTTTACAAATCATGTACACAGTCTTCAAACTAAACCAAGTTATTGACTATCTTCTCTCATGTCTCTTCTGGTCTTCAGATCAAAATATGGTAGAAATACATTGACAAGTGAACTGAGTAGGTGCTGATTACCTGGTAAGGGTCCGCGAGGTGATAATAGTAACCGATAGTTACAGACCTTGAATGTTATGGTTCAAAATCGTTTGCTATGTGGAGCAGATACATTCATTCTTTGTGTTCTCTCAAAATCTAATCTTCTCAATTCCTTACCTCCATTATCTTACCGTTTTTAAATTTATTTCACTGAATAATACTTATCGAATAATATCTTTGAACCCTAATCTCTCCGATTACTGCTCATACTTCTACTACATCTACTACTATGAGATTTGAATAGACGATTACATCTCTGTATGCTAACATGATATGGCAACTCGAACTGATGTACGTAGACGTACAGGCTGGGTTGCATCGGCACCTGAACTAGTGATAGGGAGTGAAATAGTCGAGCGTGTCGATCACTTCACTTATCTGAGGAGTCTGATCAGCGCTGATAGCCCGATGACTGACGAAATCTCAGCTCAGATACAGGAGGCTAGATTGGCTTTTGTCAACCTGCGTCACTTATGCCGTAGGCGAGATATCCGTTTGCTGACCAAAGGACGAGTGAACTGTGCAGTGGTTCGCTCCGTCTTACTTTATGGCTGTGAAACATGGCCAGTGTGAGTAGGAGATATTCGTAGGTTACTGGTATCCGATCAAAGGTGTCTTAGAAGCATTGCTCGTGTATCGTGGGACAACCGAATAAGCAACGCTGTCGTTAGGAAACGGGTACTAGGTAAGGATGGCAGATCAATAGATGAAATGGTGAACCTCATTAGTTGAGGTGGTTGGGACATGTGTTACGTATGCCTAACCACCAACTGCCTCGACGAGCTATGTTTTGTGGTAAAGGAGTAGGTTGGAAGAAAGTTAGGGGCGGCCAGACCAAAACATGGCACAAATCCATGAAGTCACTGACAAGTGGACTGAGTCATGTCGGTAGATGTAGGCTACCGGGTTGGGGTCCGCGAGACGATAGTCACCAATGGTTAGAGACCTTGAACGATATGGCTCAGAATCGTTTTCAATGGCACAAGTGCATTCATCCTTCAGCTCTCTCAAATCATAATCTTCTGGATTCGTCAGCACCTCTACCTTTGTCTTCTAACCTTATCTCACTGAATTATACCTCTTGAATAATATCTTCGAACCTCACTCTTCTTAATTACCATTAATACCTCTACTATCTCTATCACAATGGGATTTGATTTGACATTTACGTCTCTGTGCAAATGTGGTATGGTAACATGAACTTATGTACATACGTACGAAGTTCTACGTTGCAACTGACTGAGTGACTGAGACGTACAAAGTTGTACATTATTGCTGACTGACTGATTTCGATCTCTAATCACTCCTTTTCTGATAATTAACTTTTAGGCTACTCTTCACTCCACATTACTTATATGCCAATTTGTGAGTAGTATCCACCTTACCTAGTTTGAGTCCACGACTCCTGCACCCTGCGCACTACTGAAGGGTCCCGTACCAGGACAAAACGGTCGTCTTTCAGGTTTCTAATGGTGGTCTAACATTGATCGATTCATGATTTCGAAAAATGTGTAACTTAACAATCTTCAAAACCCCTGTAATGCAAATTACCTGTGCTCACTAGTGACTAGCTTCGTGAGGCATCTTCTCCGAGTTCTAGTGGGAAGACGTGACCAGTGAAGTTCAACCTGTTCGGGTGTAGACAGTGACTACTACCGAAGACTGTGTATGAACTTGCGCAACTCCGTGAATTCATCAAGTTAGACATTAACACCAATAGGTACCGGATCAATGGTCCAGGCGTTAGACGTTCACGCACAATACCGAAGGTCCTGGGATTCGAATCCTATGGGATGCATAAGTCATGGATGCGCACAGCCACTGCGGAGGAGTCCCATACCAAGACGAAACGGCCGTCTTTCAGTGCTTCCAGGCTCCTAATGGTGTTGGTCTAACATTGATCGATTCATGATTTCAAAAAAATGTGTAACTTAACAATCTTCACAACCCCATAATGTAACTAACTCACTTGTGATCTGAGATTTTTTCGTCTCATTTTGTGTTCGTAAATCTAATATAACACCTCTACATTTATCCGGTAATATACAAGTAAGTAATTGTTCATCTGAACGACATCGACCAATATTGAATGTTGATGATGATGATGTTGATGTTGATGATGATGGTGATAAGGATGATGAGGATGATAGTGAATTTTTCAACGATGAATTCATCATTAAATTGTTTGATTTTGATGATAAAGTTAAAGATGACGACGACGAGGTTGTTGTAAACGAATTGGTCATTGTTATTGCGTTAGAAGAAGATAACAAAGTTGGTGTAGTAGTAGTTTGATTGTTTATACTCACGGTAGATTGACTGATCATTGGTTCAGCAGTTATAAATAAGGTGGTCTATGTAAACAAAAATGAAACATCTGTCTATTATGATAAACTCTGAAGGAAGCAAAAACACTAAGAATGAAATAAAACTTACAAACGAGAGAGAAAAAAAACCACAACAACTAGAATACTGTGGTGTTCTGCCAATAAATAAATACATCAAATTTATTAAGATTGTTAATTAAGAATGATCAACAACAATAACTCACCCGACCGCAGCTGCTACCTTGACGTGGTGGTCGGGCTTGCCTATCGTGATGACCCAGCCGAGCTATACTGGCTGGAACATATGTTCCTGAAGGTTCTACCATGCCAGCCAGACAGGTCGATTGGAGAACGATGAGACTAAAAGCAGCTACCCATGGTCTGAGGGCGAAGTCGTACTGCTGACTGTGATGGAGGGGTGTGACAGCAGTAAGGTGTTTCCCACGGACAACCAGCATCTGCAGCGATGCTGCCTTCTCACAAGGAAGGAAGGGTTATAAAAGGTCGACCCTAAAAATGTCACACCTCCCCTAACTCACGGATTTCTGTCTCCGGCGGTAAGGGTGCCCACTAAGGGCCTTTAAGAACGGAGCTAATCCTCAAAAATCCTTTCATAAACAGCCCGTGTGTGACCGGCCTCAAGCAGTTGTCCCTTGGACTCTGCGGTCACGCACCAACACTAATCTATCTTCCTTTTCAGGTTCCTCAAGAAACAACCTTCCACGGTGTGGGCAGCCGGGAAGTGACAACCACCCTCATACCCATAACAGCACGCGAGACCAAATTGGTCAAAATCAAATCCTTCCTACACCCCCTAGTACCTCTCTTATCTCCACGACTAACTCTTCTCACATTCATTCATCACAGTGCACAGCTAATGCAGACGATACGAGTTAGCGAAACGTCGTTCCTGGTCTCCTTAAACCCCGTTCCAAACTACATGTTGGAGCATTTAATGTATGGACATTGTGTCAAATAGGGCAACAGGCTTCCTTAGCTAGGACTTTAGAATCTCGTGCCATCGATGTATGCTGCGTCTCGGAAACGCGCATACAGGATCCGAGTCGCGTCATACACTTGGCCACACCATGTCAAAATAAAGAAGCAGCTCGATTTACTCTTCGTGTATCCGGTAGCCCTGATGCTGCTTCCAGGGGTCTTGCTGGCGTAGGCATAGCATTGAGTCCCAGGGCAGAACTATCTCTCCTTGACTGGATCCCAATAGATAGTCGATTGTGCGCTGTCCGACTAAACGGGACAGTAAGGACTCGGAAAGATAGGGACAATCGCCGTTGCCTCTTCATCGTATCTGCCTATGCCCCCACTGAATGCAGTTCAGACGAGGTTAAGGATGAGTTTTACAGAAAGCTTTCGGACCTCCTCCAAAAAGCTAGGCGCTCTGATATAGTAATAATGGCTGGTGACTTTAATGCTCAAGTAGGTAGACTAAGTGAGCAGGAGAGACACCTAGGTGGATGTTATGGTGTCACGGCTAATAGAACAGACAATGGTGACCGTCTGTTGCAAGCATGCTCAGACAACCGCCTATTCTTAGCAAACACTAACTTTAGGCATAAGGAAAAGCATCTGTTGACCTGGCGACCTCCAAAGTCGTCTCAACGTTGGACTCAACTAGATCACATCGCCATCAGCCACCGATGGAGTTGTTCGATAGAGGACTGTCGCTCGTTCTGGGGCACATGCCTAGATTCAGATCATGCCCTAGACTGACTGACAACAACTCAACTAACTTGATTAACAAAAATATCGAATGTGTACACAATTTCTTGAATGAAAAGATGATTATGGAGATTGTTGGGTTACTTTTTTTAAGATTGTGAACCACCCATCAGAAACCTGGAAGCATTGGAGCGCGCCGTTTCGTTCTGGCAAAGGACTTATTAGCAGCAGTGCATATCCATGACTACCGATACTAGCACAGCACGATTCTAACTCAGGAGCTTTGAACTTGCGTGCAAGCCAGCAACTGACAGTGTTAATATCTAACTTTTATCAATCCATGGGGTCTTGGCCAACCTCATCCACACTGTTTTCAGTAAGCACTACTTCACGACTGAACAGGGCTGAACTCCAACTAGTCAGTTACTTTTCGATAGAACTCGCAAAAACTTCCTAACTGAGCTAGTCACCAGTGACCACACAAGGTTAGGCGTTTGCACGCAAGACCGGAGATCCTGGGTTCGACACCTGTGAGTAGCGGGAGTTGTGCATGCGCACAATTTCTTATGTTTTTCTATTGAGGGATTCTAGTGTCTAAATGATTTTCAGTAAATTGTATTTCGAATAATCTGCCTTAGTACATGATTCTGTCGAAATAATTAGCCTAGAGAGTTTGACGTCCGCATGCAGGGTTGTAAATATGCACTGTTGAGGAATCTCATAATACGACGAAATGCACTCCCAGTGTTTTCCGGTTTTTAATGGTTGTTTTACCTAGATCAATTAAACATTAAGATGAAAATATTTGGGGTTGACAAAATTGTGCAATATATATATATATATATATATATATATATATATATATATATATATATACATAGATAGATAGATAGATAGAATCATTAAATGTGCATTGCTGTGATGAAAATAATGAATGTTTGCTCATTTCGCTGCCACAACAGTACATTTTATTGACATTTAAAACGTATGACATTAGCGAATAAACACTTTTTAGAGGAACAGCAACAAAATCGGGAAAGTCTATTGTCCCTCACTCTCCACAAATCCTCTCATATTGCCACGAATGTATAACCAGTGTCAAGAAAGTTAAACTTACTGGGTTTCTTCTCGTGGCCGGCGTGTTGTTCACGAAATTGAGAGGAGGATGAAAAGCGGATGTCTGGTCAATGCTAAAACCGTCTTGGTGAGAACAGAAGATCAACTAGAGGAGTTGTAAAATCCCCGATCTTAGCTGCTACCTTGACGTGGTGGTTGAGATTGCCTATCGTGATCACCCAACAGAGTTATGTTGGCTGGAACATATGTTCCTGAAGGTTCTACCATGCCAGGCAGGTCAATTGGAGAACGGTATGACTACAAGCCGTAACTTGAGGTCTGAGAGCGAAGTCGTACTGCTGACTGTAGAGGGGTGTGACAGCAATAAGGCGTTTCCCTCAGACAACCAGCATCTGCAGCGATGCTGCCTTCTCACAAATAGAGGAGGAGTTAGAAAAGGTCAACCCTAAAAATGTCACACCTCGCCTCACCCTACAGATTCCCGTCTCCAGCGGTAGGGCCTTTTTAAATAAGAGCGGAGCTAACACTTCAGCAAATACAATCGTAGATCAAAGACAAGTATCGATGAAAAAGCCCTATGTTTGTTCAATGAATGATAAAGAAAATATCGCAACCTACAAAACATGAGAGTATGTGTGTATGTTAGTTAGTTAGTTTTGCCTTGCTTACTTGTCTTGGCTTATGATAGTATACCAGTAAAGGGAAACGACCACCGTGACGAAATCGGCTACTTTCTAAAATTGTTTGATCATCACATTTAGCAGGTACAATCACGGTTTTTGGATAAGAATTACATAACTACAATAGAACGTTAAAAAAATTAACATAATGCATAAAACACGATCGAACTGTGTATACAGGTTGCATCACAAATAAACTTTAAAGAGAAAAAGTTTACTGGTGAAAACCATTGCAGCATTGCATGGAAATACCGCCTCTCAACCTCCACCTCCACCTCCACGTCCTCCACAAATCAAACTTAGAAGTTTTTGGTTTCGAGTTGAACGTCTAAATATCAGACCACTACTGCATTACCCACCAATAATGCATCAATCAATCAATCAATAGCAACGTAGAACTTCGTACGTATGTAGATCAGTTCAGGTTGCCATACCACATTAGCACAGAGATGTAGTTGTCAATTCAAATCCAATAGTAGCAGAGGTAGTCGGAGAGGTTAGGATTAGAAAATATTGTTATAGAATTAGAATCTAGTGAAATAGACTTAAAAAGATAAACATAAATTGACGAAGAATTATAAAGTTTAGGATTTGAGAGAACACAAAAAATGAATGCACTTGCGCCATCGCAAACTATTCTGAGCCATGTCATTCAGGGCCTCCAACCATCGATTACTAACATCTCGCAGACCCCAACCAGGTAGTCGATACCTACTGACATGACTCAGTCCACTTGTCAGTGACTTCATGACTTTCTGTCATGTTTTGGTTTGGCCAACCCTAGCTTTCGTCCATCCTATTCCTACACCGCAAAATATAGCTCGATGAGGCAGTCGGTGGTTAGGCATACGCAACACTTGTCCCAACCATCTCAACAGATAAAGTTTCAATACTTCATCTATTGATCTGTCGTCCCTACATGATACTCGTTTCCTAACGACAGCATTGCTTAGGAAACGAAACCAATGCATCACACTGATAGCTCCATTCCCTCCATTCCCACTCCCGACTCAGCTTCAACATAGTCACGTAGTGATCGGACTTGCCTATCATGGTGATACGACCAGATTATATTGGATAGGATACTTGTTTCTTAAACCCCGTCATTCCAGGCATATCGATCAGAGAGCAGGAAGACTACAAGCAGAAAGCTTAAGATCCGAGGACAAAGTCATGATAGCAGTAATGTGCTGCCTTCATCGAAACAGCATCTACAATGATACTGCCTCGCCACAAACGAAAGATGGGTTGGAAAAGGTTGCCTCATCGATTCTCACTTCCCGACGGTAAAGGCTGAAAGTATGGAGCTAATATAGCTAATACTACCCACAAAATGGCTATATGTGGTCGGGCTGTGGAGTCTGTAGTCACGGTGACAAATCATCAGGACCACTACTGAGTCAGTTATTTTTTCCGCAAGTGCCTCAGATTGAATGTTAATACAACAATGTAACTCTCAGTTAGTCAGTCATAAATAACACAGAACCTTAATCGTATCATAGTAAGAAATATAATAGAGACAAATGACACACTACTTACTGCATAATTCTCATTAACTTGACTTATACGCCATTTTTCATTAGACAAAATTTCATTGATATTATTTGACCAATCAATTGTTTTGATTACGGATAAAGGTGATAACTGATTGGATTTAAAAGTGAATGGATAAAACTGAGTTATATCAGCTGTCAGAAAAAAAAAATATACAGAGAGAAATAGTTTTAAAGCAGAAAACATTTACGTATCAATCTGTTCGGTATAATAGAGAAACGTTCTGTAATCACGAATTCACTTTTTTAGTGATAGATAAACAGTCAGTCAGTCAGTCAGTCCGTACAGTATGACGGAGCGAACTGCTGTTCAGTACACCTGTCCTCTGGTTAACGAACGGATATCTCGCCTACGCCATAAACGGCGTAAATCGGCAAAAGCCAATCGAGCTTTCTGTATCCGAGCTGAGATTTCGTCAGTCATCAGGCTATCAGCGCTGATCAAACTTCTCAGATAAGTGAAGTGATCAACACCCTCGACTACTTCACTCCCTATCACTAGTTCAGGTCCCGATGCAACCCGGTCTTGAAGCAACATTTTGCATTTCGAGGGGTTAGACCGCATCCCGAACATGCTCGCATTGTTGCTTATGGTAGTCAGAAGACTCTGCATTTTGTCAGCGTCTTCACCGAATAGAACTATGTCATCGGCATATTCTGGGTCATTAAGCGATTAAGTCACAAAAGGACTTTTGTCCTTTCTTGTAGATTGGGACAATTAGCGACTGAGACCAGTCAGATGAGATTACGTCCAGTTCCCAGATTCTACCTAAGATCTCGGTCAGTCTAACTGTTAAAACTGGACCACCATCCTTAAACATCTCAGGGGTCAGCCTATCAGGACCTGCAGCTCGCCCTCGCTTCAGATTTCCTAACACTTTCTCAACTTCATAAACACAAGGAGGACTTAAGTCGATTTGCATTCATGATGACTGGGGATCGTGGACAACCGAAGTGTGGCTGAAGATCAGTTAAACTGGTCCCTAAAGTGTTCTGCCCATCGGTCCAGTCTCCTGGATTGAGAATGGATAATGAGACTATCCTTTTCCGAATTAGTCTCACTCACATTTGGGTTCCTATTACCGGTTTCTTTGATAAGGCGGAAAAGTTGTCTACTGTTGCCCATCGCCACTGCCTTTTCCATCGCTTTTGCTTTCGCCACCCACCAATGTTGGCGGTCGTTACGTAGGCTTTTTATCAGTCTGCGTCTAAGCTGACTTCGCTCTTCGTCATCTTTAGAGTCAGGTGGGATGCGTTTTCGAGCATCCATCAGTTTCGTGGATGCGACTGAAATCCACGGCTTCATCCTAGCCTTATGGTTTACCTTACTAGAAGATATCACTGCTGTTTCCACAGCCTTCTTGAGATCATTCCAACCTGCCTCCAGTTGGGATTCACTTGCATGGTCGCCTAACTGTTTTTCTAGTTCCTCCTGAAATATTTTCTTAGCTTGATTATCACTAAGTAAAGCCCTAAGAGGTTTTCTGGCGATATTTTTCTGGCATCCAGTAAGGTGAAAACAAATACGCGCTTGCACTAGAGCATGATCTGAATCTAAACATGTGCCCCACAACGAGCGACAGTCCTCTATCGAACAACTCCATCGGTGGCTCATGGCGATATGATCTAGTTGCGTCCAACGTTGAGACGACTTTGGAGGTCGCCAGGCCAAAAGATGTTTTTCCCTATGCTTAAAATTAGTGTTTGCGAGAAATAGTTGGTTGTCTGAGCACAGTTGCAACAGACGGTCGCCAATGTCTGTTTTATTAGCCGTGACACCATAACATCCACCTAGGTGTCTTTCCTGCTCACTTAGTCTACCTACTTGAGCATTAAAGTCACTAGCCATTATAACTATATCAGAGCGCTAAACTTTTTGGAGAAGGTCCGAAAGCTTTGTGTAACTCATCTTTTACATCGTCTGAACTGCATTCAGTGGGGGCGTAGGCTGATATGACGAAGAGGCAACGACGAGTGTTCCTATCCTTCCGAATCCTTACTGTCTAGTCGGACGGCGCACAAGCGACTATCTACTGGGATCCAGTCAAGGAGAGATAGTTCTGCCCTGGGACTCAATGCTATACCTACACCAGCGAGACCCCGGGAAGCGGCATCAGAGCTACCGGATACACGAAGGGTAAATCGAGTTACTTCTTTATCTTGATATGGTGAGGTCAAGTGAATGATGCTACTCGGATTCTGTACGTGCGATTCCGAGACGCAGCACACATCGAGATTCTTAAGTCCTAGCTAATGAAGCCTGTTCCCTTATTTGACACAATGTCCATACATTAAACGCTCCAACATGTAGTTTAGAACGGGGCTTCAAGAGACCAGGAATAACGTTTCGAGGACTCGAGTCGTTTGCATCAGAGGTGCGGGGAGATATAGGAATGTGAGTAGAGTTCGTCGTGGAGGTAAGAGAGATAATAGAGGGTGTAGGAAGGATTTGATTTTGACCAATTTGGTCTCGCGTGCTGTAACGGGTACGTATGCCCAACCACCAACTGCCTTGACAAACGATGTTTTGCAGTGTAGGAGTAGGTCGGTAGAAAGCTAGAGGCGGCCAAACCAAAACATGGCACAAATCCATGAAGTCACTGACAAGTGGACTGAGTCATGTTGGCAGATGTAGGTTGAGATCCACGAGACAAAAGTCACCGATGGTTAGACACCTTGAATAATATGGCTCAGAATCTCTTGCGATCGAGCAGGTACAACCAATCTTTGCGTTCTCTCAAATTCCAATCGTCGGAATTCCTCATTATCTCTATCTTTCCCTTTCCATAGTTATTTCATTGGATAATACTTTTTGAATAATATCTTAGATCCCTAATATTCTCCATTAGCAGTAGTTCTTCTACTATCTCCACCACTATAGGAATTGAACTGACTAATGTGGTATGGCAACCCGAACTGATGTACTTACGTACGAAGTTCTACATTGTAACTAACTGACTGACTGACTCCCCTCGTACGGATGGAAGTAGGTAGAGTCCGCTCTCCTTTAAAATACTCTCATATGGCCATGCATATATAGCTACTAACAGGGAAGTCCTACTCACTGCTTTCTCGTCGACAGGGGCTTGTTCACGAAATCGAGGAAACGAAATCCGAGTTTCCAGCTGAGCTTTAAACCGAGTAGGTGGGTGCAAAGCATCTACCTAGGGGAGTTGGAAAACCATCAATCCAAAACAATGGTGCACATCGGCTGCAGAATCCTGAGGGAACCAATGACACACAAGCCCATTATTAGTCACCGGCTACCATGGAACTGGAACTCTTTACGGTGCCCCACATTCAGACCAAAAACCCGGTAAGTGGCCCCTTAAGGAAACCACTTGCTTTGCTTAAGTATCCTGGACAGTAATCCAACCATTTCACTCACAAATTCAATAATTAGCGAGGCGCGTATATATATATATATATATATATATATTACGGAGTTCTGAAGATTGTTAAGTTACCATGAATCGATCAATGTTAGACCGTGAATTGGTCGAAGTTATACATTAACACCATTAGGTACCGGCTCAGTGTGGTCTAGGCGTTAGGCTTTCGCGCGCAAGACCGAATGTCCTGGGTTCGAATCCTGCGAGGTGCAAATACTTCACTTCCCTATTTGAAGTTTGTGCTGATGTTGTTGTTCAGGAGAAAATAATGAAAGCTCCGTAACCAAAAACATCCAGCTCAGAGAGAACGAAACTTCACCACAAAGAATATTTATAAATCAATACATATACACTACACGGCATGAACAAAGCCATAATACTTACTTATTGAAGTTACTGCCTCTAATAATTGTTCAATTGAACGAGCCATAGAAAAACTATTCACAGTTAATTCATAAATATAAAAATCTTTTGTATACAAAACAATTGTATATCCTGTTAAGATAGATGGTGTAAATCGACGTTCAGTAGGTGATTCAAACAAACGATACCCATCAATTGCTCTGTACATAATCTTTATGAAATTAAATGATAAAACTATCGATAAGTTCAAAATTATTCAACAATAAGACAATTCACTTAGAGTAAAATGATACACAATGTACCTTCAAATAGTATTCAGATCATAGATTATGTTGTGGTTTATTGTCACTAATTTGCTAAAAAAAATGAAACCATTTCATTCAAACACAGAATACAGACCATAACCATTTCGAATGTGATAATAAGGATAAATAGGCATTTCAAAAAAAATCAGGAAAATTGCGACATTTGATAAATTTAAGTCATTCAGTAACAACGTAGAACTTCGTACAGAAGTACATCAGTTCAGGTTGCCATACTACATTAGCACAAAGACGCAACTGACAGTTCAAATACCACACAGGTAGATATTGTAGAAATATTAACGGCAATGGAAATTACGGTTCGACGATATTATTCAAGAAGTATAATACTATGTCATAAATTTAGAAAGAAAAATATACAGATTATGAAGAATTACGAAGATTAAAATTTCACAGAACATAGAGTGTATGCACTTGAGCCATTGAAAACGATTTTTAGCCATGTCAATAAAGGTCTGTAACCATCGATTACTATCATCTCGCAGACCCCAACTAGGTAGTCAACACCTACCCATATGACTCAATCAAGCTGCCACTAAGTTAACGGATTTGTGCCATGTTTCGGTTTGCCAGCCTTTAACTTTCATCTAACCTAAAAAACATAGCTCGACAACGAGGTCTGTTTTTGGGCATTCGTAACACACGTCCCAACCACCTCAACTGATGGAGCTTCAAATCTATTGATCTGTCATCCCTACATTCTACTTGATTCCTAACAACAGAATTTCTGTTATTTTATTTCAGGATTTAGTTGACAATCGGATATGTTGTGTTGGGACGAATGTGAAGTATGTATGAAAAATCTGCATGAACTATTATTTTAGTTGAGGCATAACAAATACAATTTCAGAATAAACCACGAAATAAGTTGTAAATGTTTTCCTCCGATCCTAGCAGATAATCATGATGCAGTGTACTACGGAGGCGTGTGAATGGCACCCTATTTTGCAATTTTCGCAAATTTTAACTAAGATTCATGCTGATGTTTCCCCGCACATGATTTAATATTCTAACTCCAGAGAAGTGCGTAGAAACCATAGAGTCCCTGGAAAAATTTGCAAAAGTAGATATTTAGAGTGAAAGCTATTTGGGATGAACCAATGCAAGAATTATATTATGTGGCATAAACGTACGCGAGAATTAGGCTATTTTGAGTAAATTTAAATAAAAAGCGAACTATCTCCGCATTGGCGAGAAAATGAAGCAAAGGGGATGCAGGCGAACAAACTATTCGACTCAGGTAGGCGATTTCGGAGGTTAATGACGAAGAAAAATGCTTGAAATGACTCTCGCAATGTTCCACCACAGCATGCAACATATGAGACAATTAGAAGACATTCAGATGTCTCTTTCATTCACTTAGGTAGTTTTAATATAAAAATAATCTTTCATACGATCAGATCACATTACCAACACTTTTTCCTAAAGCTGCAGTGTTTAGTTTGAGATACACAAACAATCATTCAACTTCACTAAAACATGTCTTAGTTTTGCGATTCAAGACTTCAAATGTTAACTTACCATAATAACTTTATCATTTCTCTCGAGATAAAGATGATGCGGATTAAATACTAGCCGTTTAGAACCTAGAGACAGAGCAGGTGTAAATACTTTGACATTCTCGAAACTAGTCATAGCTTCTCACAACCTTGACAATTTGATTTGCCAGAACTCCAATTTCCAGTATCCAAACTTTTCTCACGAACTGGTATAAAAAGAATAATTCATTGGTGTGTTACTATCAGATGATCTCTTATTCCGATTTAACTCTCAGAGCATAATTTCAAAGGTTAGAGTCTTGGTTTGTAAAATTTTATTTTTTGCAAGACATTAAATTTATCGATTCACTTTCCTGAGAACTGTCGTGACAAAAAAGCATCAGAAGCTCGTTTGTAAACATCTTTTTAAAGGTAAATTCCATGTGGGCTTTGTTGAAATCTGTATAATTTGAGTATAAGCTGGTATAATTGGGCTACAGAATAATAGGCCTATTCAGTAATTTTGTATGTGTTATGAAGTGAACGACTACCACGTTTTTAAACCTTCTTACAGTGGCCCCCGATATGATCAATTCAAGAGGGAGCATGACAATAGGAATTGTTCCAACCTAAATATTTGTTCAAGATACGAAATGCCAAAGTAAGATCACTATGCATTCTGTCATAAGATAAGGTGGAAAGGTTTAGGTGTTGTATGCTGTTAGTCGGGAAAGACCCTTTACTAATATGGTCCCCACACAGTGCACTCGCGCGACTGCAATAGCATTCCTCGTCAGTCACGGTCCAGCTGCTTCGCTGCAATCTATTGATGGGGTGTAGATTGGATTAACAACCCGAAGCAAATCCTAAGCATGGTATTTGATTGGTCGACGAGGTGACAATAACACCCGAAAAATGTTGGCAGCTCTGCTATACAAGTTGAAGTGGTTTTCAAGTCATGATTTAGTACTACAACCAAGCATTTTGTTCCTGCACAAGTGGTAACGATGTGCAGTTGTGCGTAAATATATTGATATATTGATAACTAAAGCCGTATCTGATGAGTAATGGTACACTCTTTCTCGGGTAAATTTCTATGCCCCAAATCTCAACTTTTGAACTACTTATTCTTCTACGAATTATACTTAGTCTGTAAGTAGCATTGTCTACGTATTGGGCAGCCTCTAAAATTCATCTAGGTAAGGAAGAAACAGTAGGAAAACCAAGATGGTGACTTGAACCCATTTCAGTCTCGATAGTGTAACGTTTACTGTCATTCTCTGTTTTTGGCCACGGAGGAACTTTTTCATCTACTTATATACTGCACCTGTTATTCTATACCTTAAGAGCTTCTGAAAGAGCCCCTATTGAGAAACCTTATCAAATGCTTTTCTGAAATATATGGGTGTTATTATCGACAGAAAACCCGGTAACTTGGGTCGCCTTACAATCTTTCCTCACAGTAAGTTAATTTAGCGTTAGTGCGTATGCCAAAGTCCGTGTTACGCATGAGTTAACATACTTTTAATTCTACATGACTTGGCGACCTAATCCTATATCTATTCTTTCAATTAGGTAGTTAGACACGTTTTGTCTCCAGCCTTATCTTAATATAAGGCTAATTTTAGCATCCTGTGAAACGGACACGCTGAGTGGTTCGAAAATAATGTCCAGTACGAGTTTTGTACTGGTCACTTTCTTTGTTACTTCATAATACTCGCTTCAATATTCTTCTTGGTTGTCACTTCAATTCATTACACCGTGTTTTACTATCATATTACTCCTAAAATCGTATACTGCCATAATTTTCACTTACTCCAGATCATTGCCATGCCGTTTATTGGGGTCACTTTCCTCCAAAACTTCATGATTTAACTTCTCTTAAAGTCCTGTTGACATCTCTCTATTGATTCATCGTTTCTTTACCACTTAGAATTGAACCAGCTGTACTAACAACTAACAACTCATCATCGTCAGTTGTCGGAAAAACCGAGTGGTCATCGTCACTCTGCAACTTCTCCATTAAGTCGGGAAGCCCCAAAGCTTTATCTAGGAGAATCACATGGGTAAGACAGCATTCTACATGTAACTACAATGAAGTTTGTTTACGACGATGTATATGCGCGGCTGGAGACAAAATAATACACATTTTATGTAATCACATCTTACACTTGCGGCGCTGCACACCGTCTTCAACTTTGATAGACAGTTCTAGCCAGAATGATGCAGAGGAAACAGAATAGATAACCACAAAACGTTGAAGTTCCAATATTATTTCAGTAACTATGAAAATTTACCAAAACCGTGACTTTGAGTAGTTACAGTTAAAATGACAAAACTTCAGATCTGGCTCCAGAGAAACATAGCGGTAAAGTGATATTCATCAAGAGAAGTACTACACATCAACAAAAATGCTTCGACTGATGGAAGCTAAATGATAAAAACGTGTTAGAAATGGACTCCGCAAAACAGTAGTCTGTGTTGTCATTTCGCACGACCATCAAGTCTCCATGTCCCATAGGTTGTGTACTTCAGAAATCGAGAAGACCTAACTGAGGAAATTCCGGCTCGGTAAAGCAGGGAGATTGACCGGTCAAGACACAGAGGCTATTGTGAGAGACAAAGCAAGACAGGCTTAAGCGAACACACAATGAGAGTCCACCTCGATCAAAAACCCAAAACACAAGAAAAAAACAGTGGTTTCGTTGATTGAGTACACTGCACTAGTAAAATCCTGCAGAACAACTTGTTTGAAAATTCGACAACGGCTGTCGTTTCTGACGTGCACCAGGTTCCGAGACAAATCATCAAGTGTCTCCACGGCAACATGAGACGACCGGGAGGCAAGCTGTTAGAAATCGAGAACGTGTACTCTCCGATGAATCTGAAGATCATAATCCTATTTAGCTATCCGCTGACACTGCAGACGATGAGGTGAGCTTGCATGGCATGACACTTTTCTGAAGAGATAGGGTACACCAAACAGGAGGTGGAGTGGCTGTGTATATAAAGGGCCACTTAAAAGCCAAGCGGCTATACGAGACCTAACTGACTGAGGTGGCAGTATCATGTTGGTTTTGTTTCCACACAAATGGCACGAATTACCTGAGTGGAGGGGTTTATCGTCCTCCCTCAGGTACCAAGGCCCAGAAAGATAAACTTACTGAGGCAATACTGTAACTGCCACTCCTTAGGTTTGATCAAGTACTCTTAGCTGGGAATTTCAACACCCTATTTCCAAATCTCAGTGATCAGGGTACAACTCCCACTGGTTGGTTCCAAAGACAACTTGATGCAGCCATTAGAAGCGCTTGCCTAACTGAGCATATTAGCAGCGCCACTAGGAGCCCTACGTTTGTTATACTAAGGTAAATTACACGCGCATGAGAGAGAATCATCTACACGCCTCATGGGCACAGGGTTGGCAGAGGCTTACAGTGGATAATCACTGGCAAACAGTGAGATAAATGATTCAGAATGCTGTCCTAAACAATCTACCTCATGCACACTACACTCAGGGAGAGAGAAGAACGTTGGCTAAGCGAGATGATGAGCGCTTGCTACAGGTGGAAAGGAGAGCCTAGTACAGGTGGAAGTTCTCCCTGAGGGATTCCGACAGTAGTTTTTGCTTGACTTTGAGAAACAGATGCAATGCCAAAGTTCGAAGTCATAGAAGACGCTTTCAGATGAAGCTCGCAGCCAAAATATGAACAAACCTTAGGCATCTCTTGAGGTTCAGGACAAAAAGGAAACCTACTAACCAAGCTGGTTGTGTTCTCAACTGTCCAAATAGCGAAGTTCTTACCAACCAAGAGATGGTTGGGATCTTCAACATTGACTTCAATGATTCATTAAACCAAGTAGCTACTCCAAGTGGAATGGATGCAAACTACTCTCCCTAATCACCAAAAGAAGAGATAGGTAGGAGTCAGCCTGTTACAGGTCAGTCGCATTACAGCCAATACTATCAAAGGTAATGCAAGGGCTGGTGGAACAACAAATGAGAAAATACATGGGTAAGAACGACATCCCACTTGAAGCTGAACATGGGTTCCGGAAAGGTGGGTCGGTCGCATCCAATCTTCTCAAAGCATTGGACAGTTGGAAATCCAGCTGGACCAAAAAATACCGCTGCACATAATATCCTCGAATTAGCGAAACCTTCAACACAGTATCACACGCACAATTACGAAGTTTGTGGAAATAAGCTTGACTGTCATGTTAAGTACACTCTGCCTAATTGGACACAAATGACTTACAACCTCAATGAAGGTTCGAACCCTAATGCTTCCTCAGAAAATGATCACATTTAATAACCGCATAAAGCCTCCACACAAGCCCGAACTATGTAGGGGACACAAACAATGATAATACAACTCTTCAATTTATATGAAGACAACCTGCTGCCTTCACCCCATAATTATTCCTAACGTTAGTCAAGACATTCGCGCACACAACGCGTCCACAACGTCATCGCAATACTCTCCCTAAAATAAACATAAATATCTTGGATGGAGCGCAGAGACAAGCGACGAAATAGGTGAGAGGGTTTAAGAGCAATCCATTCAAAAATAGACCCTAGCATTTGGGATTATTCTCCATGAGTTACAGGAGAATCAGAGGTGACCTGATAATATCCAACAACTTATTGAGCACACCATAGTCATCCCAACTTTAGCAACTTACTGAAACATCACCACCACGCCCCTAGAGGTAATCCTCGAGAAATTGCAGCATCGAAGAGCAAACACTCAGATTCCGGCACACGTTTTCTCACTTAGAGTCGCTGCAACATGGAATGCTCTCCCAGCCGAGAAAACCAAGCACCCTCAGTGGACAGCTTTATCAAGAGACTTGATAAACACGAAAGCACATAAATCTTGACGTCTCCCTAGTGAACCAGCTGTGCTTGATGCATGTCTTCTGACGGGCTAGTTGTTATTATTACCGTTTCATCATATCACTAACCTAATTTATCTCGCTTATTGTCTCTGTTTCCTTATACATCAATTTAATTAATTCTGAAATCTTCTTCTCATTGGCATTACAATTTTATCCTCACTGTTCTCCACACTGTGGATAACTGATCTCCCGCTTGGTAACGTGATAACTGCTGGTATCAAGAAACCCTACTGCTCTGAAACGAAGGTACTCATTCAAATCACTGGACATACAAACTAACGAACATCTGTCAACTGACTAGAACTAGTGCAATCCAGTTTCAAGACCATTATCCATCTGACACTACAAAATACCTGGAACATTACCGAAAGAACAAGAATCGAGCACGAAGAAATCAAATTGGTTTACACTAGCTCGTGAAAAAGATAATGGATTGGATTGAAAGGTACTAGATATTGGAGCTTGTACAAGTTTGCAGCTGTTCAAAAATATTTTCTGTAATCGTGGAAATGAGCTCTCAATTTGTTCACAAGATCACACATGTAGGTTGTAATTTGTCTCAAAAGTGAATCGTAAAGTCAACCGCTCATACCAGGCCTTCGACAATATCTCACCACTGTTCCACAGATTCTCAATGTTCTTACGAGAGTATGTAAAGGATGAAAGAAGCGATGACACAAAATCGTGGTCCAGAAACAAACATGATGGTCTTACCAAAGCAAGTGGTTTTATGTTTCACTCATACTGCAAATCGTTTGATGCGACAGGGTATTGGTTCGCATAGAACGTCTTTAAGTGATTCATCATCTGGTTTACTGAATACATCCTTCTCGAGTTCACAAGAAGCCACTAAACGAAGCAACATTGATAAGAGTATTTTGAAGTAACAGCCAGTTGTTTGATTCTATGAGCTTAGGAGCCAGTGTACTCTAATTCGTAATGATCTTAAATCGTTAAGATCACGCGTAACGTTGCATACTGCATGAATATTACTGAAGGTTGATTTTTTATTGAAATCCAACTCTTCTGAGATAGAAGGTAACTAACTTATTACATCTTGTCGATTTAGAATTCTCTCTGTTTCGATTTTTCTCTTCAGCCACTGTAGAAGTAGATTTCGATCACTGAAAATCAACCTGATAAAAAAACGCTTATCATATAAATTATTTTTCTGGACAGAATCCTATGCTTTATTAGGGATAACAGGCGTAAGTAAGTAAATATTAAATCGTGGATTGGATTATTACAAGTAGAATTGTGGATAGACAATGCTGAAGAGCAACACGTAAGTACGAAACAGCTTTTCAGAACTTCGATTGTGGTCTAGCTTAGATAATTTCATAATTTCAGCAAAATTCAACAGATATTTGGGGGTTCGAGTTCCTCTGATTCTGATATTAGGAAATGCATTTGTCCAATTTATCTGTAGTCCAATTAGATTGTCATTACATATACTGTCTACATATGCATCTCTGCATGTATTCTACTGAAGAATCCCAATAAAGATGAGACAAGTGTTTTGAATTTCATCAACAAGAACAGCTATAACTAGTGTTACTCATTTGTCGACAAAATATTGCAAACTTGACCTACGTTCAACATGATATTCATGGCAATGACTGTAGAAACTTCTGTATTCTTACATCTTCGTTAGAAAGTAAAATTAGAACGATTATGATTTGATCAGAATGAAAGCCATTATCGATTTATGCGTCCAAGGTTGTATTTCTGGTTTTCAACATGATTTTTACGTTTATGTATAGTTTAATGGGAAAGATATTTACTTGAAATTTACTTGATAAGGTTTATTTACTGAGGTTGTAAAATTTCCACGTTTGCAATCATAAAATGACTGTAGCTATATCGTCATTGAAAACCTAAAAGAACTGGTCGGACGTTTCTTTCTAGTAAAGAACTATTCAACAGAATGGGAATAGAACTCAGAACACATTCTGGAAAAAAATCGGTTGTTCATTCATTCAAAGAGTTGTCTAGATATGATCAATTTGTGTTTTTGACTGCGAAGGATAGTTATCCACTACATGGAAGAAAAAGAAGTGTACAAGTAAATGAATACAGATATCACTACCAACAGAACTAGCAGATCTGTCAACATAAATGTTTTGTTAATTCTATCGAGAATAAGGTGACACCAGTAAGACAAGAGACAGGAACAACTCGGTCATGACTTTTCAGATTTCAAATTGAACTGTAATAATTACACTGTAATGCAAAGAAAATTTATTACTACAAATGATGTTACCAGATAAAAAAAGAATACAAGAATAATACTTGATAATGAACTGACTTCAAGGATGGTACTGGCAAGAGTAAAAAAATATAAAATCGAAACGAGTTGTTTGTCTGAAAAAGCAGCAGTAATATTACTGTAGAAGTTGAAAAAGAAATTCATTCTGGGAGCCTTTAATTCATCATGTGTTCAAGTGTGCTCACACTAATCAATGTACAATCAAAAAGTTGGAAACTCTTTCTGAAATCGTTGTACAAAAATAATTTTCTGCTATCTACACAATATATATTGTCCAATTCAACAGTTACTGTAAAATAAATTAACACGATAACTGTACAAATGAAGCATTGAATCGACTTCAGATGAACACATAAACATGATCATCATTTCTTATGAGGAATGTTAAGACACCAGTTTGTGGAAATACTTCGAACAAGAAGCAAACTACATGTATTTTCAAAGAATGTTTATTATTGAAATAAGCTACTGAATATTAGTAAGTAGCATAGTGGTGTATTGCAGACGAAATAAAAAACACTTGAAATAAACGACATCAATAACAACGGTGTTAATGTCCAGCAGTGATCAGTTGCGCAACATCAAGCACTGATAGGTAACTGCTTCACACCTAACACGGTTCAAATCCACAGGTCAAGTCTACTGAGTAGAACTCCGATAATGTCTTGACGAAGCCAATCACTAGTGAGCGCATTTTTATCAATTTTTAATGATCATGTAACAATGGTTGTATAATTATTTCAATGAAACTCAACAACCTTCGCAAGTCTAAAATGAAAATCGAAATCTGATACTGTTTATGAAAATAGGAACATGTCATCACCAGAAAAACAATGCAACAACACAAGATACTTCAAATCGGATTAATTTCTGTACACCAGATCGTAAACGAGTTAGCAGTGACTCGTTGATCAGTCATGCCAAATGAAGTATTATTTTGAAGTCATTTAAAAAGTGATCAGTATTGGACACAAATGCAAAAATACCAACTAGGAATTCGATAGAAATCACCAATAGTACACATTGAATCATCTCAAATTTATTTTCAAGCCACAAATACGATTGGGTTTGATATGGGATTCCGTAAATATATGGAATCAGAAGCAGTGCAACTTCTCCTTCATGGTCGACGTGGAACAGCATCTCACCCTATGTTAGTCTTTTTTGTACAACCTGCGTCCATTGTGTTTCACTGACTGAAAGTACCGCCAGGTTGTATCTTTACATCTCCACAATAACTTGATAGACTACTCCACTCTCCGACAAAGTACAATCATTCCATGTACTTACATTGATTGGTGCTCTGGTTGTCAGAAGCGACATCGGATTCGTTACTTCCGATGAAACTCGGCATTCAACATGAGACACCATAACTCTTCAAAATGAAGACCTTCCAACTGTGAGGGTAGAGTTAAAGAGGTTTGAAATATTTGTTTGAATAAGCGTAACCTTGACGAGTTGATTCTCTACGGGATGAAGTCACGAACTTCTCACTCAAACCTCCACATTTATTCAGGCTTTCAAACAGCAGCAGCATCACAAAGGCTTCATGTAGAGTTAGATAAATTTTACAGAATTTTATTCTATCTGATTTAGCAAAGATAATTAACTGAGTATTGTTTCCATTTTAAATGAATAAAAGATGAGATATAATGTAACGTATTATTATGATATTTGTTGGTGATGGGGCATACCACCCCGTGCCTCTATAGCAACGTAAGAGGAGGACTAAGGGGTAAGCTGTTAGAAATCGAGAATGTGTGCTCTCAGATGGGTCTGAAGATCAACGAATACGAAGTACTTTGCGTAGACAGCTGTTAATAAACACTTGTATCTTCTGGATGACGATGGTTTTCGTAGTTCTCCAAGTTTCCGCTTCATGCGTTAGAATTGTCTTCACAATTGTATTGAAAATCCTGATTTTGGTTTTGGTTGAAAGTTGTTTGGAGTTCCAGGTATTTTTCAACTGTAGAAATGCAGCCCTTGCTTTGCCAATCCGTGCCCTCACATCTGCATCGGATCCACCTTTCTCGTCGATGATGCTGCCCAGATATGTAAAGGTGTTAACGTCCTCCAAGGCATCCCCATCAAGAGTGATTTGATTGGTGCATGTTGTGTTGCATCGGAGAATTTCGCTTTTTCCTTTATGTATGTTGAGACCTACTGCTGCAGAGGCTTCTGCTACACTGGTCGTCTTCTCTTGCATTTGTTGTTGAGTGTGCGATAGAAGAGCCAGATCATCTGCGAAGTCCAGATCGTCCAGCTGTGTCCTAACTGTCCAGTTGATACCGTGCTTCCCCCCACATGTCGACGTCTTCATAATTCAGTCGATCACCAGGAGAAAGAGAAAGGGTGAGAGTAAGCAACCTTACCTGACACCGGTCTTCACCTCGAAAGAGTCTGTTAGCTGTCCTTCGTGTACGATTTTGCAGTTGAATCCATCATGAGAATTCCGTGTGATGTTAATTATTTTCTCAGGCACACCGTAGTGTCGAAGAAGCCTCCACAGTGTTTTCCTATCCACGCTATCGAATGCTTTCTCGTAGTCGATGAAGTTGATGTAGAGTGGTGAGTTCCATTCAATTGATTGTTCCACAATGATCCGTAATGTAGCAATTTGGTCAGTACACGATCGATCCTTACGAAATCCGGCCTGTTGATCTCGAAGTTGGGCGTCTACGAAGACCTTCATTCTGTTCAACAATACCCTGTTGAAGACTTTGCCTGGTATTGAAAGAAGGGTGATGCTTCTGTAGTTCTCAC